TACATAGATTATCTCAACTTAAGTTATGCTCTACACAACACCACTGTGTACTGCGGACTTTACATACGAATGTGAAGCAAATAAAATTTCATATTCTACGTTGATTACAATGGATGTCGATGCTGTCATCACATACAACGTACGTACGATAAACTTAACTTTAACAAAACTAATGGCTGGTGTCGCGGGTGTGGATGTGAGTGGGTGTTGTTCTTATCGTCATCCACATCCACACCCACACCCACACCCTTTTAGTAGACATCAAATGCTAAGCCGAAAACAATTTCATTAGAAAGAGCGCATTGAATCAGATATTCAATTAACAATTTTGGGTAATACACTTGTGTAAATTATAACTTCATAATACTGAAAAAATCATTGTTTGTAATATTATGTCCTAAACGGAGCGGTATTTAGCACTAATCAATAGAAAAAAAGTTACGCCTCTAAGACATACTTATACGTTCCGATAGAGGAAAATATTCTACGTCAAGTGAAAATATATTAGATGAACACAGATCGGATATTTATAGATCTATGGTCAAAATCTGGTTTTGAGAGTGTTCCGAGCATCCTTCAGATTTTTTATATTATCCCATGAATTTTAAAAACTTAACTGAGATTTATCATCAGTGTACTCATCCCTATCGAACAATGAAGAGTTCTCAGAGAAAGAAGATCAAAAACTTTGTTTCGACCCGTGAGGGGGATCCCAAGTGTGTCAAATTGAGTAGTGACAAAATACACAATAAACTTGTGAAAATTAATCAAGGTTCAATATTAATTCTTAGAGTAATAAAATTAGGCTCAAATTTTTTCAAAAAACTCGTTCCGAAATTGGGAATGGCTTCACTAATGTCCAATTGATGGTTGCCTATTGAGTACTTAGCCACTATACTTTATTAGTGGAAAACTGGCTGTTTTTTCATTCATGTCAGAGCTCGATCGAACTCGATCCCAGGCTTCGATTCCAGTTTGATGTTATCAAGTTCAAACGGTTTGGGTTTGGTATATCTACCTACACCCACAAACAACAAGCTGTCAATAGTGTCATTAATGATTACAGAAGAAAAAATTTCATGAATAATGCATCTTAGTGACATGCATTCAAAAAAATGTTCACAGTGTTGCTGCCATAATTGGTTACTACAAAATCCATTCTACCATCACTATTGAAGTCACCCACAGCCATTGAGCATGGATATATATATAAATTAAAAAAAAAAGGTCAACTTTTTACAGAGTTTCATAGGAGATTTCCACCTCACTACCTGGTTTTCGAAGAGATTTTCGCGGTTTTTGTTATTTTTGGGAAGGCTACTTTTTTACTTCTATCAGCATGAAATCAACATTCTTATATCATATAGTATGACCTGTAGTGCTAGCTTACGCCATCTATTGCGTGCTTTCAAAAATTCCACATAAATATTATCATTATCCCATTATTTCCTGCATTTGAATGAAAAATCCATTTCTAAAACTTCTTTAGAGGTTTTCTGAAAACATGGTTTCCAGACAGGAAAATTGAAATAACTCCCTCTCCGATCGCCATATATACAATATTTTTTTTGTTTCAAAGGTCTCAATGAGGCTAAACATTTGTCCGACCAGTTTTTTTAAAGTCGATTCCTGCGATGAGAAAAGTGGAATTTACTCTCGTTCGATCACCATTTTTTATACTAATTTATAGACCCTTCCACTAAAATGGTCATAAAAAATCAATAAGATTGAATTTAAAAATTCTGTTCAGATAAAAGTTGCGTACTGACATTAGCTTTAATTTGAGGCCAGCCTGAGCCCGATACCTCTTGTTATGACGAAGTTATATCGATTCTCCTGAAGGTCAAAAATGACCTATGATTCAACTGAAACTCCGGTCCGGTAAGGCCAATCGGGCTGAAATTTTTACCAGGAGCATATCTCTCCAGGATCACTCATCCCTGAAATTTTCAGCTCAAAAGATCCATTCTAAGAGTGGGAATTCATTTCTGAGGGGGGAGGGGGAGGGCCTTAAAAGCAAAACTACTCATTTTAACGCTCTAGATTGAACAGGCTGAAAACTAATCCTTCACTTCCAGAATCAGAACTAGGAACTACCTATGTAAAAAAAGAGACTATGGGAACATAAGTAATTTCAAATACTAGCACTACATGGTCATTGAGTTTTTACAATATGAGCACTAGTGATCACTAACGCTAGCAACACTTTAAGATTAATGTTTCATTGGACTTAAATTATTTTTTACAAACGTTTTCTCACATTTTTTCACTGTAGACCAAATGGTTCTACTTTTGAGACTTGAACATTTTTTTTCGTCGCCATTATAATCCATGAAAGCAGCAATCGACCATATCTGTGCACTTTTACTTGCTATGAGCGTTCTCCATGTATCTTCGCATCTTTCAGAAAAATTAGTGATTGTTATTGATTTTTCGACATGATATCAGTGAAAATCAGTAATCCCCGAAATAATTAGTTACTACTAATAATTCTTCTGGAAAATATCAGTCAAAATCGGTGATTTTAGAAATCATTAGTGATAATTTATAGTTTTGGAAAACATTGATAGTTAGTGATATTGTCTAAACAATTAGTGAAAACTAATGTTTCGTCGAAAAAATTCGAGAAATTAATGATTCACTGAGAAAATTAGTGATAATCAATGTTTTTTTCAATATTTTTCAAATTTTTTTTCATAGATAGCTGATTCATAAAGTGAACTCGATTCGAATTAGATCTGCCGTTATAGCTCTACTTCTATGATGAACTCTGACTGAATCATTTTTTTAAAAACTGCCAAATCTCTGGCGTTGTAAGATGGAAAAAGTTTTATTTATTGTAGCCAAGAGCGCGGTTCAGAACAAGCGTCTCAAATTGTACCCTGAGAAAAAAGATTGATATCTGTTCAGATAAGCGGAATGAAGAGATATCAGAATCTCGAAGACAAAGGCTTGTCTTTTAGTAGAAAATTGATTTTACTTTGAGCATTTGCTTTTACTTTGACATGTGTTCAGCTGTGGCTTTGATCGTGCTGGCCTCATTTTCGTCATCATGATGATATTCAGTGGTTTTCTTGTCGAGTTGGACAGTGTATTTAACTTTCTTCGATGGATAAAATGGGTGAGCACATTTCGCTTTGCATATAATGTATTAGTTGCCAATGCAATTCGTAATCTGAAATTCTGTTGGCCCAATGGCACACATGAGTGTCCTTTATTGGGTAGCAAAGTCTTAGAACAACAATCAATCGATCATGAATCAAATTGGGACATGTGGAAATATTTTCCAGCTCTCACATTAATGACTGCAATACTTTTTCTTATGGTTTATATCAAATTATTGTTTATCAAGAAGGTCAAATAAATCATTTGAACTCTCTATCAACGGCAGTGTAAAAAAAAACTCTAATAAGAGTAGTTTACAAATCTTTATAAAATTCGTGTTCTGGAATGTAAACAAGAAATAATCTTTTCCGACTGATTCGCTTTTTGCAAAACAGAACAGCTGATATTAACCATCTGATAGTGAAAAATTTTTCTTCTGAGTTGTTGTGCGCTTGCTATCAAAGATATGATCATTGAACAGAGCTCCAATTGCCAGAAAATCTTGCGTTGTCGATTTTAGTTAAGACTTTGTATTAGACTTGAGACTCATAAGAAAAAATCATACGCGACCGGACTGATCGATTGAGAAAATTTATATACCGGCGAAATACAGGTAAAAAACCGATGCTACCAGTAGAACAATGATCAGCATCAGAAAATTATTGTAAGACCATGGCACAGTAGCCAACATCAGGAAACTGGTCACCCATCGATGAAACATGTTACAATTTTGAGAAGAACTTGAGCACGATTTCATACGCTGTTTTCTTTCGAACACACTCACATGAATACAACTGACGCCCTTGATCACTCAACCAAGTCACGAAAAAAGGTGTGGGTGTGGATCTCATTTTACTCACACAACACCCACACCCACAGTCACAGCCACACCCTCCAGACGAAGAGCTTTAACAGAATATAAATGTTACCTGTGAAAAGTTCACTAGAACTGCTCAATTATTAGTTTAAAACAGATCTAGATTGATCTTGATTTAAAAGAATTGACAAAAATCAATTGTTTGCATGGTTTAATCGCCTTGTGACCTCAGAATAATCGGACTTATTAACAATTATTGATTTTTACGCGATTTTGATGTGAAACCATCGCATTTCATAGAGATAGCATCAGTCTCACTTTTCTTAGAAGCGAACCGAGAAATCTCTAGTTAAAACGGACTGTACTGATATAATCAGTTTTTTAAGAAAGACAAATCAAATAGATCCTATTTCAGCTCCTGATATAGGTTCAAATATCAAATGCTTTAATGACAATTGCATATAATAAGTGAAATCAAAAACGTGTGAACCTAGTGCTATTTTCTATATAATTTTCGTCGTGCAGCATGAATTCTTTGTAGAGATTTAGATTTTATCACTGAAAAGCAAGATTGGCGAAAGAACTTGCAATGTTGTTAAAATCAGTCTGAAGCCTTTTTTTTGAAGTAAGTGCGTTTAAATGCGCTAACATTGGTATTTATCTGGAAATATTTTAAAGTATTAATTTGTTAAATATTGAAATAAGCGAGATCGATAATCTTCTTTGAGGTTTTATGCGTAAAGATATTGATCTTATATTGGCTTTCTCAGAACGAAATGCTTTCGCTTTTAATTCATCTTTAGTGTGATCTATGAAATTGAAACTTCAAACATTCGTGAAACCCAATTAGAGCTATGATTAGCTTAAAATTTATTCGTTTAGGAGAAATTTTTGAAAGATGACAATATTCTGTTATTGGAGTGCAGTTAAGCGGAGTAATTTGTTGTAATAGCAGTAGATGAGCCACATTTAAAACTACTGTTTATTTTACAACCAGGATTCATTACTGTAGAATATTCCTAAAGATCGTAGAAAGAGAAAATATACCAATGTTATACTGAACATTATTTCAAAAAGATTAGCTCACATAAGCACCAACAGTCGGTTTCGAATTCGATCGACTATTTCCGTTGAAATCATAAGTAACAAGCTGACTGTTAATGTGTACGCCAGCATTGATCAACGGAGATCCTACGGCTGGATAGAGATCCATCTTGTTAGGATCAAAAAAGACATTGCTTTCGACGTTGAAAGTTCCAGTGGATTGAATTCCTGAAGCGTCCATAGGACCATTCACAGCATTATTATAAATTTGATAGCCTATAACGATTAAAAGTTGCAGTTAAGACAAAGAAAATACCGCACAGATAACTAAATATATTTACCAGCTAAGTTAACAGAGGATGTGATTGATGCTTGATTTCCACAATAGAGTACATTATTTGCTATGAGAATGTTATTATTCGTTAAGCCATTCAGACGAAGACACGCATCTGTTTTCGACATGTAGACGGTGTTGTGATTTATAGTTATATTTCGAATGTAACCAACAGTGGGATAGATTGAGTTCCGAATCACACCGATTCCGGCAAGATCTAGTTGAAAAAGTAGATAATGGTTGGTAGTTTTATGTTGCTTATTGACAAGTATTTCTATTTCAATGTTAATGACCAAACACTCAAGTAGATCTCTAGGTCATTATGAGTTTATCATTATCTATTGTTGTTAGAAGAAAGCAAAGATCTTTAGAAAAAAAATGGTTTGTTAATATTGCTCTTTCTTTAGCAGAAACTCTCGACCATCATCTCATGCAATACGAACATCAATTAGTGCTAGATGTACAAGTAGACAATCAAATACTCACCATTGTGATTCATCTAAATATATGTTTTCTTTGATACTGTAAGATATACCTTCATAGATGTCATGTCAATCTCATTATTACCACAGATTATGACAAATATGTCTATACACGTTTCGCAGTCAAACTTGATTCTGTTGATGTGTTGCAGTTTTGAAAAGGACAAAACAAAAGTTTCTTTTTTAAGCGGCTGAGAAGTAATCGGTTGTTACCAACACAAAAAGGCAAACTACACGAACAGGGAATATTATGCTTTCTGACGAAGTAGTAATTAGTATTAGAATATAAACATTTTTATGAAGAACTTACTGGCATGGAGAACAACGTTATTTGTGACTGTTACTCCTGATGTGCATTGTATGCCGAAATCATTTGTGCCCGATAGGATGGCATAATTACCCACAATAAAATTTCGTCCACGATTATAATCATCATAAACGAGAATGCACGGTCCAGCAACTTTGTAACAAGCATTATTACGAATCATTACATTGTATGAACCAGGCTACAAACATAAGAATGTTTCGAGAGAACTCGTAATCTAAAATAAAGTCTATAATTTTACTTTAACTTGAAATCCAGGCCGAAAACCTCCTAGTGGCCCGTTTGTATCATGACAATAGTTATGTTCGAGAAGAGAATCCCGCATGCGACATAAATCATTCACACAACCAAAGTAGACACATCCGCCCCCTAGTGCAGCGTACGTTTCAAATAACTTCAAACTATAAATCAGGTTTATTAATGAAAGGATACTCACCAAACGTATTCGTAATTTTTATTTCAGTATTTCGCAATGTAATATTATAGTATTCATTTCCAGCATCGTTCGCTGCGAATGCTGTAGTCGCGGTATCATAAATATACAGATCATCGAATATTGCATTGAACGTAGCTATGTCAATGAAGTGGTAGACAATGAAAATAATAGAAAATTCCTCATATTCTTACCAGCTGGTCCTATTCGTATGCCTCTGGAGCCTTTGGTAAATGCCAAATGCTTGAGCATAAAATTGGATCCTTGAATGTTAAGAATATTCTGAGCATCTAGACCAGTGTTTGGATTCTCTATAATGGGGCGCGCTTCATTTGGTGCACCTTGAATGATAATCGGTTGTGTTAATTGACCATTCAGTGTCAGTTGAAAATATCCAGAACCCGATGTCGTATAAGTACCCTGATGCATGATGACAATATCACCAGGTTTTAAATTACTTATAATAGATTGCCAGTTCGACGATGAAGTTGTAATATCGTACACAGTACTTTCCGTACAATAAATTATTGTACAAATAATTATGAAATTTATAATTGACATAATTTTGTCGATAATGCCAATGCCAAATATATCTCAAAGTTTACATGAAATACATTCATATGAATGCAATTCATTTTGCATACATAAGAAAAATGAAAACTTTTAAACCAATGTATATTCGTCATTTCTCAAAAGAAAATTTATCAATTTCTTTCGGTTTTAGATCTGTTCCAAAAACGTGAAATGAAGATTACTATTTGAGTTGACAGTAGATAAATCGATTAATCAAAGTTGAGCTATATAGGATCTCAGATACAAACTGCGGTTAGTACAAAACGTTGACTCGGTTTTTCTCAATAACTACACTCCCAATATTCTATCAATGTATTGATTGACTATACTACTGACAACACAATATTAAATACAACAGTGCTCCTTTTAGTCACTTGAACACAATCGTATTTTTATGTTAGTAATACTCGACTTACTTCATTGGGTGAATTTGTTCATCATTGCTTCTTTGTTACCTGGAAGGTAATAGTAGATGAAAAAGAAAACCAATTTCATCTACTCGGGTAAGGTAACTAAAAATTAGTAGTCATGCTGTAATATCTTTCTGTACGATCTCTTATACGCGGTCTCTGTGGGGTTTCTCGTCAAAAATACAAAAAGAATAGCTATTGTCAGTTCAAGCCTAGTTGTGCAAAACAACAGAAGAAAAAGCAGAAACATTTCAAAGTCAAACGAACAATTATTATATGAAAGCGCACTTTAAATAGCTGTAACACAAAGTCAAAAATAAGAAGAGTAATTGTCACAATGTGGCATTAGGTCCCTTGAAAAGTAGTCCTCCGCAAATAATCTATAATTGATTGCAATAACAGGTATCAGTTTTCTTTGAAGTATCACATTCAAAAAGTAGATTAACTAAAATGAAATCACTAATAGCTTTGATATCATGTAGCAAATAGTATAGCTCTTCTGGGACATGATATAGTGTAAGTCATTAAAAAGTACTTTCCATTTTTCAATCATTTACATTCAAATCGCTCCTATGAAGAAGATTATTACTTTTCTTTGGTGAAGATTTTATCCCAAAGGGTGATTGAAAAGTAACTCCGTATTTTATATTCTTTATTACTCACAAACAACAAAAGATATCGTACTGACTTTTTCACCATTTTGAAGCTTGGACTTTGGCATTTTGTTGTCCATGAAATAAATTGATTGATCGTTTGACTGCCTAAGATCAACCACGATGTCGGCCTAGAGAATGCGTAAAAATGACTTATTGTTTTGAATCGGTTACCGAGATACCTCTGTAGCAATAACTAGAATAATGAGAAAAGCGGTATTTTTTGTCTCTACTTCGCAAGGTTGTAATGCGAAAGCGAAAATGTCATACATCTTTTTTATCACTATGCAGTACATAAAAGTTGAGAGTAAAAAGTAGNAGATGATACACGCCCAATTTCATTACTTTCATGTTTTTCGAAGTTGTTTGAGAAATTGTTTCTTATACACTTTCGTCAATAGTTTTGGGATAATGGTATTCCACCGGAAGAAGAGACTGGTTTCAGATCAGGACATAATATGTCTACCAGAATCCTGTCGATTGTTGATCAAATTGGACAAGGTCTTGCACTAAATAACACTACTGCTACGTTGTTCATCAGTTTCAAGTCTGCCTTTAATCAACTATGAATTAAAACTCTTTGACTCAAACTTAGACGTCTCAATTGCCCTTTGTACATTATTGCATGGTTAAGAAATTATTTAATAGACCGTTCAGCCTTTATAGAAATTAAAGGTATCAAGTAAGATGATTTGCCATTATTTAAAGGTGTTCTTCAGGGTTCTTCCATAGGCTCAGTACTATTTATTGCTTTTTATTACGATATATTAAAAGCAGTATCAAATCTCCACTTTAAACATCCATTTGCCGATGATTTTGCTAATGTTCTGTCACCATAAGTGACTCAGTCATGGCAATTACTCTTTCCACATCTTTCACAACAAATTTCCAAAGTAATAAAAGACTTGTACTCTTATGCAATAATATGGAAACAATCAATAAACTTCAAACAGACCTATATTCCTATTATTCCTGTTATTCATTATGAAAATCACATCATCGAATAAGTTTCATAATTTTAGTATCTTGGTGTCATTCTAGATGCTAGATTATCTTTCAATTTTCATCTCGATTACATCCAGTCAAAGATTAATAAAAATATTGTAGTTTACAAACGTTTATCTAGCAGCCGTATGCTATCCCAGGTAATCTCGTATCGATTATATTACGCAATATATTCGTTCATACTACCAATCTGTTTTAAATATTTACCCAATATTATCTCGTACAAAACAACTACAAATGGAACCTTAAATCGTAGAATTTTGCGCAGCATACATAGATGACATGATGTTACGAACGATGAAATAATCAACCTTCTATCTTATAAATATATAGAATTACTTACACCAATATATTTCTCAAAACTATTGTGCACAATTATACGTACTAATCCTTCAATCATTGCTGATTTTATTTAACATAAACAATAACTGTTATTCTTAAGGGAATATTTTTTGAATCTTGTTTTACTGAAGGAAAAGCAAGCAATTGTAACAAGAGGAAGAACATCAAATCGTATACGATACTACTATCGTCTTGTAAGCAATCTCTTTTTGACGAAGTTTTTTGCTTTACGTAAGAAAAACAAAAAATCACCACCGAGGAACTTTAAAGATATAGATGAGGAACCAATTTCCATTATGTTAAATATCCTATACATATTACTATTAAAACTTTTCTTATGAGTGACGACTCAGGAAGATCTAATAGTTGTCATGTTGTGTAAATTTTTATATATAATTTGTATTCTCTTTTCATTTGAGTTTCTTTCACATATAGTGATACTGTATTCTTATTTGTTTTTTTTTGTAAGAATGCAGAGACGATGTTCATCTAAGTCGTTCTCCCTATACTCCCTATGATACTATTTATTCTCCACTTCTTACGATAAATAAAAGTAATATACTACTACTACTACTACTAAATAATCTTTCACAAAAAATTACGAAGTCAAGTTTTGATTTTTTTATCAAACATGATATTTTATGCACGACTCATTAAAATACCCTCAAAAGATTTGATTCTACTGGTATTTTCGACCAATGTGCTAAATGAACTTGATTCGAATTTGGTTGATTCTTACTCTGAATTAATAAATATATGATAAAGGCATATATAGTACCGAGTGTCCCATAAGTAAGGAAACAGAAAAAACAAATTGAATATCTCCATTATAGCTCGACCAAACGGGCTCATTTTTTATCAAGGATAGAGGTATGTTTACACTCCAAATCCGTACGGACAAGGTTGATGAGAACCTTTGTTAAATACTATTATTGACTTCAACAAAAAAATTTCATCTTTTCACAAATAGAAAAAATTCAATGTGTAGGATGGCCCAAAAGTTAGTTTACCGAAAAAAAATTGAATATCTTCATGTGCGGCTCGAGCAAACGAGCTGATTTTATTATCAATGATAGAGACATATTCAAGCTTTATATCTATGCACGCGTCCACAGAGAGACTTTTTGTTAAGTATACTGTTTTCTTACCTATTTGTGAAAAGGTGAAATTCTTTTGTTAAAGTCAATAATGGTATTTAACAAAGATTCTCATCAACCTTGTCCGTACGGATTTCGAGCGTGAACACACCTCTATCCTTGATAAAAAAAATGAGCCCGTTTGGTCGAGCTATAATGGAGATACAGTGAAACCTCGCATACTGAACACTCTCCATTGTGAACAACCTGTTTAACTGAACACCTTCAGGATTCCCCGAGCTCATTTTGCTGGTTTTATACCTGTCCTATATGAACATCCCTTGATTCAGAAATGTGAACACTTTTTACGGTCCCAACCGTAAAAATAACCTCATCATTGTGAACAACGATAGGTGGCGCAATGTGAGTAAAATAGTGGAAAATCAATGTCGTGAATTTTATTGGTTGTAAAATTATATTCAATCAATGTAGAGAAGAGGAGAGAATAAAGACATAATAAAATACATTTATTTCAATATTTGTCAGATTGAACATGACGTCCAGAAATGATTTAGATTTGGAACAAAAGGTCAAATTAATAAAAGATAAAGAAAATGGCATGTCTGTTCGAGAATTAAAAGACAAATTTTATGTTTCTATTGGAAGTGTATCTAATATTCTTAAACGAAAAAACGAATATTTGGATGATGATGAATGTAACAAGAATAAAAAGATGAAACGAAAAACAAACAATGATCTCAATCGACAGATTAGTGACGGAGTGTATGAATGGTTCGTCCTTCAAAGATCAAAAAGAATTCCAATATCCGGTCCAATTTTGCAGGCATATGCTCAAAAGATTGCTGGTGAATTATGTGATACAGGTGCATTTCGAGCCAGCAGTGGTTGGCTTGATCGATTCAAATCTCGGTACAATGTTCAGTTCCGGATGATATGTGGTGAAGCAGCAGCTGTAAATCATGATGTAATTGAAGATTGGACATCACGTTTGCCGATAATTCTTGAAGGTTATAATGAATGTGATGTTTACAATTGCGATGAAACTGGATTATTTTTTAAATTAATACCTGATCGTTCATTTGTTATTGGAACAGATGATTGCAAGGGTGGTAAACGTTCAAAAGAAAGGTATACTGTGCTTTTGTGTACTAATTGGACGGGCACTCACAAGCTAAAACCGGTAGTAATAGGTAAGTGTTTCTTTGTTTTTTCCATTATCATCTGTTTGTTATCTTTTATATCATTTTAGGTAAATCTGCTCGTCCAAGATGCTTCAAACGTCTTGATGTTAAAAAATTACCGGTTACATGGTTTTATAATAGAACTGCCTGGATGAACAGTGTTATTTTTTCTAAATGGTTGTATGGTTTTGACATCATGATGCAAAAACAAAATCGTAAGATTTTGTTATTTTTGGATAATGCGCCTGTGCATCCTCCTGACATTCAATTAAACAATATCACTCTTAAATTCTTTCCAGCAAATACAACTGCCAAAAGTCAACCATTAGATCAAGGATCAATTAGGGCTTTTAAAGCCCATTATAGAAAACAATTGGTACAGCATATAATAGCAAATGCCAGTTCAGCTTATTCAGTTGAAGATATTAAGATTAATGCATTAGATGCAATCTGGTGGATAGATGGTGCTTGGAAATCTGTAACTGAAGCAACAATTCAAAATACTTTTAAATCAGCTGGTTTTAAAACTTCTATTCCTACTTCAAATGCAACATCAACAACAACACCTGAAAATGAAAATATTATACTCGTAGATTCAAGTCTTACTGAACTTGGTAAAGCACTTCAACATATAACCATTGGTGGTGATGTAATGTCAGCAAATGACTTCGTGGTAAGTTCTCAACAAACCAGTTTGAAGTTTATTATAGAAAACGTTTGACAATTTGTTTCTTGACTTTTTTAGAGCATTGATGACGACGTACCAACGTTCAATATATGGGATGACAATGTCGAGAAAATATTAACATCTGATGGATTTTCAAGTGAAGATGTAGTTCCAGAAGATGATGCAGTAGTTGAAGAACCACCATCATTATTAGAAGCAATAAAAATGATTCGTGGTCTTCATTTATTGTCAACAGTTGAATATCCTGAATTACATTCCTACATTGTTCAACTTCAATCGAAGCTCATGGATATATATCTCGACGGGAATAATTCAAAACAAACAACTCTTTATGAATATTTTCAACGTGTTTAAAAAGTCTTCATTAGTTATTTTATTCTGTTGTGTTAATAAGTATTCAGTCATAATTTACAACACTTTCTTGAATAAAATGATAAAATCTAGTTGAAATAACGTTTAAAATAGTGATAAATGATATATAAATTTATTTTTGCTGTAACCTCTCCTTTATGAACACCCCGATATACTGAACGTTTTTTTTGGTCCCGACGGTGTTCACATTAGCGAGGGTTTACTGTATTCAATTTGTTTTTCTGATTCCTTACTTATGGGACACCGGGTATTTTAGATTAATTGTTTTAAAGAACCTATAATGCAATCTTCAAGAATTTACATAGTATTTAGATCGAAATTTGATTGGAACAGATCTGCATTGTAACCGTATGAGTTTTTATGCAAAAGGCATACAGAATCATGAGTGAAGGGACGGTGACAAACATGTTAAAAGTCAACCTATAGATGATTTTTTGTAGTTTTTCAAGAAAGATTTGTTCTTGGGATGTTTTATGCAAGCACAGCGTGTTCTGGAGGAGTGTTTTACAAAACAATGTGAGGGCCAATTTATTAATGAACACTATTCTGTTTTGATATAAGTCGAGAAAAGAAAAATCTCATCGAGTGTATTGCACGCTATTAGATAATGCAAATAACAACGATCAAAAAAAAACATTCCCTACGCTTCACAGTAAAGCTTGCTCACTCCTATTGTAGTCAAATGGGCACAGTACATATCTAGACTATAATAAGATCTGTCATTCTCACCGACCTAAATTTTAGTGCTTGATTTGCTCTAATAATGTCTCCTAGCTTTAAAGCAAACTTTAAAAATGGAGAAGGTGCAAACAGAAATGAAAATTGTAAGTTTCTATTATTCATATTGAAGTTCAAGTTGAAAATATACCGAGAACACGAAAATATTTCTATACTGTCAAGTGCGTATTTTTAAGAAAATTAGCCTGAAAATCTTATTCATGCTAATCTCAAAGTATCTAATGTTTAAGCAGCGACGATAATTGTATCTACATACACTATGATTAAGTGCAGGGTGCTCTAACAAATCAAGAACGATTCCCATAGGTAAGGAATCAGAAAAACAAATTGAATACAGTAAACCCTCGCTAATGTGAACACCGTCGGGACCAAAAAAAACG